TATATGAAAGGTTCCAGGAGATCAAACATGTTTCGAGGATCTGCATCCACTGCATCAGTGTTAATATTAGAAATATTTAGTATTAATAAATAAAATATAAATATATAATTCTCTAAAAATTGTACATAAAATGCTCTGTCACATCAGCTGTTACTTCTCTACCAGTGCTCTGCACCAGGACAATCTGCCTCCATGATATAAAATGTACTATGAGATGTTATGATGTTCCGCCAGCGCTCTGCTTGATGCGCACAAGGAAAGTTTAGAAAATTCTGGAACGATCCAAGTTTTGAGAAGAGTAATAAACATCTCAGCAGTCTCCAGCAGCTTGGACACAACTGCACAATGCAGATAGGACCGCATTTCACGCTGTTATCAAAGCGAGATGGGAGAATCAAGTTCTAATGAGGTTATACAGATGTCACTTTGCCTGTATAATCCTGTCTTCATTTATTGAAGCGTTATAATTGGCCAGCAGGGGTGGACGTAGATCGCGGACCATGAATAGGAACCCTATGGGCCCCCCTTTGACGTTTATCATTGTTGTTTCGCGTATGCACTTGCTATCATGCCAGGTTGCCACTTGGCCAGAGTTTGTCTCGGTCGGGGAGCGTGCAATATGGCGTGCCTGTACGTGCCACTGCCCATGTCTCCTACCATGTGTCATTGGCATCAAACATTCGACTGGCATCTAGTGATGAGCAAATCTCCGAAAATACAATTTGGAAAGGTTATGTTTAATTCTGCAGATATTCGCAATCAGCCTGCTAAGTGTTATTAGCGCAGTCTTTCTCAGCCAGTTTGATAGAGGGACTGTGATGTGAAGGGGGCAATGAAGACTGGTGTGAAGGGGGCTCCTAATGTAAACGGGAAACTCTTATGTGACAGAGGGGGGACTCTGATATGAAAGTGGGGCTTCTAATGTGAAAATGGGGTTCCTGATGTGAAGGGGGGCTACTGCTGCAAAGGGTAATGTGAAGCGTTGATCTTGATTTAAAGGGGCCACTTCAATGTGAAGGGGGAAACCCAATGTTTTTGCATGGGGTCTCCCTTAAAATTGATGACATTTTAGACTGGGGTGACTTGAGATTTTGCATACTTTCAAAGGGTGCCGTGACTAAAAAAGGTAGAGAACTCTGTTGCTAATTGACCTAATAAAGAAGGTCCTTTCATCTTTATTAGAGCGGGATCCATATTTCTTACTATGGGCAATTATGTCACAGGGGACAGGGAGTCTCAACCCACAACCCTCTGAGCTTCTAATACTCAGTAAAAGAAGAATCCCCAAAGTATCCCAACGGACACTTTAAGGGCTTGTTCACACCAAGCGCGGAGCAGATCCGGACCAGAGCAGGTGCAGACCGGATCAAAACTGCGTCCAATGTATTCCTATGGTATTTTGACCTCCAGTTCACATCGCAGCGTGCGGATCCAGACCAGATCCAGACCGGATGAAAAAAATGCGGCAAGCCCTATTTTACCTGCTCTGGATCTGGTCTGGAACGCATCAAAAACGCATCAAAAACGCAACGCAATGCAATTCAATGGGAAAAAAATAACCATAAAGAAAAAAAACCTCTATGGTCATCTGTCATGAGTGATAGAGAATGAGAGAGAATTAAGCGATAGAGAATGAGTGATAGAGAGAGATTGCTAGATAAGTAGAGAGAAAGATATAGAGAAAGAGAGAGTGTGATATAGAGAGAGATTGCTAGAGAAATTGATTGCTAGAGAAATAGAGATAGAGTTATAGAGAAAGAGAGAGAGAGAGAGTGATAGAGAGAGAGAGATTGCTAGAGAAATAGAGAGAGAGTGATAGAGAGATTGCTAGAGAAATAGAGAGAGAGAGTTATAGAGAGAGAGAGAGAGAGAGAGAGAGAGAGAGATTGCTAGAGAAATAGAGATAGAGTTATAGAGAGAGAGAGTGATAGAGAGAGAGATTGCTAGAGAAATAGAGAGAGAGTGATAGAGAGAGAGAGTGTGAGAGAGAGAGAGTGTGAGATAGATTCCATCACAAGGGACACATCACATGCAAACATTCCTACCTAGATATCGACATGCGGGTGTATGAAAAAAACTTGTCTGGGTGTGCATGAAGGTCTGGATATAGAGTCCCAAACTGGCCCTTTGGATCTCTTTCTCTCATCAATGGATGCACCCAAAAGCGACGTCTCCTTACAGCACTTTGGCGTAGCAGTATAATAACCATCACCAGGAGCATGCCTGCATCCCATGGATCCATGTTGCAACAATTTAACATGTGAAACAAGGTCAGAGGAAGCAGGAAATAATCGGAACAGCTAATGAAAGGTCAGAGGTAAAAGGAAATGACCTCATAACCTTGTTAGCTTCCTGGGGAAAAAAAAAAAACGCATCAAAAACGCGTCAAAAACGCATCGTGCGCGTGCAGAAACCTGACCGGATCTGGTCTGCATTTGGTGTGAACAAGGCCTAAAGGAGAACTATGGGGTCAGAGCTTTTCCCCATAGTTCTCAGAGTAACGGGAGCACACAAACTAGCGTCCTCCCGTCACCCTAAGCTCAGTATATAGGGAGCTACAGCTCGCGGTATACTGAGACACCGCAGCTGAAACGGATCCCGACAATTATGTCTGGATCCGCCCAGCTGCGTGAGTGACAGCTGGCTCTGCCTATCTAGAGGCAGAGCCAGAGCCAGCTGTACCCGCCCCCTCTCCCGTCCGTTCCGCCAGTCAGCGCTGGCGGATCGGAGCGGGGAGGGGGGAATACAGCCCCTCC